CTTGGCACAGACAGATTACTTACATAGACACAATCAAGTAGCAAATATAATACACCAAGAGCTTGCAAACAAACACAAATTGGTAGACATCCACGAACCATACTACAAATACATTCCACAGACAGTATTAGAAAACAACACGCACAAACTGTACTACGATAGAGCCATAATTACAGATAAAACAATTTACCACAACAGACCAGACATCACACTCGTTGACAAACACAATCAATTCAAATACATTATAGACATAGCCATTCCAAACACTCACAATGTACAAAACACATGCACTAAAAAAATCAGCAAGTACACAGAACTCGTCCAGGAAATAAGACATCTGTGGAGGATGGATAGGGTGCTTATTGTACCTGTTGTTCTCTCCTGTGCAGGTGTGATATCCCGCACATTACACAAAAGTCTGGGAACATTAAAATTGAATAGAAATACATACATAACACTACAGAAAGCCACTATATTGAATACATGCCATATTGTTAGGAAATTTTTGAGTACAGACACTGACACTGACATACACATTTAACTTTAGTTTTGTTTTGGTTGCTATGCCTTGACTCTGGTCCGGCATAGTACACTGCCACCGGTGTGAACTGAGTATAACCCACTAAACTCAACATAATAATAATATCAATGACACACTCTGCCAGAAACAATACTACATATAACCTCTGGGTGCATACTGTTAGCACAAACAGACTGTTTATATAGGCATAATCAAATAGTAATTATAATACATCAAAAGCTTGCACACAAATATAGATTTTTAAGTACTCATGCACTATAGAACAAATATACTCCACAGGCAGTTTTAAAAAATGATACACAAAATATACTATAACAGAGCCATATCACAAATAAAACAATTTATCACAATCGACCTGACATCACTCTCATCGACAAATGCAATAAGATCGTTTATACCAACGGTCGCCAACTGCTGGTTCGTGGAATAATTTGGACATTGATCATGTCGAAATGAAGCGAAGTCGAAAGAAGTGCAAAATCCTTGGTTAATTTTTCTCACTCATTGGGGGTTTTTATTAAATCTAAAACTACACAAGAAATGAGTGTTATCAATAAATAATAGGAGTTCAATTGTCGTCCTTCGTGGAAGAGAGCCAAAAAAAGTAACGATAGTGAAGATTAAGATATTTACATTATAGCCAATCGTACCCGTTTTCACAGAATGCAAGAATTGGGTCCCCCGTTTCCAGACTAATTAGAAAATTTTTACATGAGTCTAAAAATATGTTCGATTTCCCGCTAAAACGCAAAAAACCTCCTGTAAATCTTGCAGGCCGCTTTATATTAACACTTCCTTTGTTACTCAACACTTCCATTGTTAACACTTCTATTGTTAACACTTCCATTGTTAACACTTCCATTGTTACACATCTTCTAAATCTACCACTTTCAACCCCATATCTCCCGCACTCTTATAGCTATCGAGACGCAACCACCATAGGTCACGAATGGATACTTAAGGCTACTACCATATACAAACACCATTCATGTGCGATGTGTAGTTTTGGCTAAAAAATGAAATATAGGGACACACGCGTCCATATATATATAGATGTTTAAAACTGAATAAAATAGATTTACAACCAATCCTTTAAAAAGGATAGAAGTAATATATGAGTTTAAAAAAGATAAAACTTCTTGTTTTAAACAATTTCAAATGTTGCATTTGACTCTGGCTATGCTCGAGCCAAACTTTTGCCACAATGCAATTACAGTGCTTAAAGTAACAAAAATATTTATTACAGTGGCGTACGGTGGGTGTCAGCCGCCCGGGGAGGAAAAAAATTTCGGTCCCTCCTTATTTAGGTATTTCAATTTAAAAGACCAAAATTCAGTTTTGTCACAAAACAAGCAATGAAAAATTCGGTGGTAGTGCAGCGACCTGTTTAATTAAAATAGTTCTATTGAATATTAGTGGTGTATATGAACGCGAATGAATCGTACAAGAAAAAAAAAATAAGGTCAGCAGGTTTCGCAGGATTTCCTCGGATGAAAAAATTACCGATTCCCGGACTGTCCGGACGATAGCACCATCGTAGGCGCGATACAGTATAGATTAGGATGTTTCAAATTTTTACAAGATATTATTATTATTTATTGTTAAATTTTGCCGCCCCCTAAAAAGTGCCGCCCGGGGCGGGCCGCCCCTGCCGCCCCCACTACGGTACGCCACTGATTTATTATGCCACTTTCATAGGATTTGAGCTATTTGCAGCTGGGAGACAAGTACAGTAGATCTATCGACTCTGCTATCATGTTTTGGCGGTAACTTGTAGAACTCCAAAACGCCACTCGTAGTCTGTCGAAATCTTTGACAGAGCAAACCATGCGTAAAGAGCAATGAATGCCGTGATCTGTGGCTCTTCGAGCCGATTCTTTCGGAAGTAGGCGATATAGCCTACAACAAAATGTACACAGAAATGAAACATGAGTAAACAGAAAAACAGGATGTAATGAAGTGACTAACATTTTAATAGAAACGGAAAAGCATAAGCGGTAATATTGGATAGAATGCCGAATTATTGAGGACCAAATTCTTCGTAGTTCAAGACTGTAGTAATAAAGATTTTACCCTTTAAATTATTATTGCCTAGCAAAAACCAAGAAGAAAAATCATGACCATAGAATACTAGCTTTGTTGGATTACAAATAAAGACTATACGAGGGTAGTCCCAGAAGTACCCGACCTAACAAAGAAGACACAAAAAATTTGGTAAAGCATATCTTTATTTTTCAACATAGTCTCCTTTTAGCTCGATACACTTTTTCCAGCAATGTACAATAGCTTCGATCCCCTGTTTATAGTGAGAACTGCCAAGCTTCTCAAAATAGCCATCAACCGCAGACTCCACCTCTTCATTGTTGGCAAATCTTTTATCACCAAGCCATTTTTTTAAGTTCGGAAAGAAAAAATAATCCGAGGGGGCTAAATCTGGCGAATAGAGTGCGTGAGGAAGCAATTTGAACCTTAACTCATTGATTTTGGCCATCGCAATAACGGATATGTGAACTGGTTCGTTGTCTTGATGAAACAACACTTTCTTTTTCGCCAAATGTGGCCGTTTTTTTCTTGATTTCATCACTCAAGCGCTGCAATAACTTCGCATAATACTTGCCGTTGATTGTTTTTCCTAGGCGCATCGCAAAAAACTGACGCCATGACGTTGCCAGCAGATGGAACTGTTTTCGCCTTCTTTGGAGCTGATTCTTCCCTTTCAGTCTATTGTTTCGACTGTTCTTTCGTCTCAGGTGTGAAGTGATGGACCCATGTTTCATCCATGGTTATGAAGAATCGACGCAAAAACTCGGCTTTGTTGCTGCGAAACATTGCCAAAGATTCGATTGAAACATTTTCACGACGCTGTTTTTGTCCCATTGTGAGCAAACGCGGCACCCATCTTGCGCACAGCTTTTTCATTTCCAAATTTTCAGTTAAAATGCGATGTACAGCACTTTTTGAAATGCCTACCGTATCTGCTAGCTCTCGCACTTTGAGTTGACTGTCATCCAATACCATTTTTGTGGATTTTTCCACCATTTGTGGCATGGTCACCTCACTTGGTCGACCACTACGATGTTCGTCTTGGCAGCTCGTATGGCTTCGTTTAAACTCTGCTACCAAATATTTTATTGTTGTAAACGAGGGAGCAGACTCCCCCAGAGTAGAATCTAGCTCAGTTTTAATATTGGTTGGACTGAAACCCTTCAAATGAAAGTATTGTATCATATAACGATGACAAACTTTTTCCATGTTTACAAATTCACTGAGATTGTTCACTGTTTATGGCTGCCAAAAAATACTATACAACGTAACGTCTTCAAACTTCAAACTTAAGCTTCATAAGGTTGATACTTTTGAACACAGTCGTTTTTTTTCAAACAAGTACCGCCATCTATGTCAGGTCGGGTACTTCTGGGACGACCCTCGTATATAATACCAAAATAGCAAAATAAATATCGATTGACATATAAAAACAAAAAATAATAACATTATTGTATTGTTTTGAAATTACAATCATGCCTAGTATTCGAATTTAATTCGTTTTAGGAGCCATTAGAATCCTGAATTGGTCAAAATCCGAATTAATTTTTCTCATTAGAAAAAATGGAAAGTGAATTACTGTAGTTCGTTTCCAGATCCTAAACAGTACCCATTTCAATAAACTTAAAGAGCAAATGTCCTTAATTTAAGGTAAAAGAATTCACATTCATAACATTTATAAAATTAGATACTTATTTATTTACTTTCAAATCATTTACTCAAATCTTTACTTTTTTAAACACACTTTAAAGATTCCTTTAAAGTACTGGAAATCTTACCTGCTGGGATATCCAAATGATCGAATGCATGTGAATATTCATGACCGATTACAAAAGCCATTCCGCCAAAGTTCAGATATCTATTATAATAAAAACGATAAAAATTGTTAATTATTTTAAAATTTTGGCCTTTTACTTAGTTCTTTGATACTTACTGAGGTAATCCATAGGCATAGAAAGGAGGATACATCAATGCTAACGGTATTTCTAAATATATATAAAATCTTAATAATACTTATACAAGCGTAATGTGGATTTACATTGATTCAGAGACATTAACATTTAAACTAAAACAAGTAACACTTATACTTGAAATTAATTAGTAAATTAGTTTAAATTAAGTATACACAAAAACTGCAATATTAATATATTTGTATATATAATTATCATCATAAACCGCGATGGCCGAAAATTGCAGGTGTCAGCGTACGTACAGTACTGGTACTTGGAATCAAATACGGACAGACGAAACCCCAGGAATTTTACAGGGTTTGATCTGTCTCGGATATGTCGAGACCCTTCCTTTCCGTGTGGGTCTGCTATGATACTAAGATGGCCTGAAATGAGGCCCTTTTAGCGGAAAGAGTTCAAATATGAATTTATTACTTTTTTAACTAATAAATATAAAGAATATTCATACGTATTGCTATTCCCACTCCATCATATCCTAAACTTGCACCAACCTCCATTGGTGNGCTAACGGTATTTCTAAATATATATAAAATCTTAATAATACTTATACAAGCGTAATGTGGATTTATGTTGATTCAGAGACATTAACATTTAAACTAAAACCGTTAACACTTATACTTTAAATTTAGTTAGTAAATTAGTTTAAATTCAGTATACACAAAAACTGTATAATTAATAAATCTGTATATATAATTATCATCATAACCCGCGATGGCCGAAAAGTTGCGGCGTCAGCTACGTACAGTACCGGTACTTGGAATCAAATACGGACAGTCGAAACCCCAGGAATTTTACAGGGTTTGATCTGTCTCAGATATGTCGAGACCCGTCCTTTCCGTGTGGGTTCGCTCTGATACTAAGATGGCCTGAAAAGAGGCCGTTTTAGTATCACTGAGCGGAAAGAGTCCAAAGAAGAAGTTATCGTTTTTTTAACTAATAAATATAAAGAATATTAATACCAATTGCTATTCCCACTCCATCATATCCTAAACTTGCACCAACCTGCATTGGGGCTATTTTTATTCTATATAGAAAAATAAACAAATAAGTCCACCACTTTATACAAAAGAATAAAATTATATTAAACAAAATTTGCTTACTCTTCTCGAAAATAAAAAGCAACTCTTTGATCAAACATTTCATCGGACGTCATTTGCTTTTTCACAGCTAAGATATTTTGAATATAATTATCTGTGATATTGATCTGGAAAAAGTAATAATTTTAATTTATTTTCGAATAATTATCGTACTTTCTTCTGTTGAGTGTTGATTTAAAATTGTTTTAGCAATATTAAGTATATGAAGAAAGGAATAAAACATATTAAAGTTGATAGTTAAAACAAAAAAACGTTAATAAATAAGCGTTAATTTCATTTTGTACTTGTCCAGTTTCTCTTTAGTCTATTGTGTTGTTCTATTTTATATACTAATATTGTAAAAGTTAATAAACAACGTTATGAAAAATAATATAATTGTTTTTAATCCTTATTCCTTATCTGCTTCTTCCCATTCTTTATAAACGAATCATTAAATTTGATTACCGTTTAAAATTTAAAAGTGACAGTAATATCATCTTTCTACATATTGAAATAATTAAAAGCAGCAAAAAACCAACATCAATATAACTTTGACAAACTAAATTAAATAACATACTTAGTTCTTTTGGTGTATCAGAATTGTTATTCAAAGATAGTATCCAGGATTTGAAATTTGGTTATACCACACTAATAGATTCAGCCATCTCTAAGTCTATAAATGCTGATCAAACCAGTTTAAATCATAATATTTATCAATGGTACTTAATTTTTAAAATCCGTTCTGCACAATTTTATATGATAAAAACAATCAACTTCAACGTGAAAAGACTATCACAATTACTACTAAACAAATTCTCGCTGTATATTAATAATATATTATTAATCTATCAAATAATTATTGCCCATGGTGTAAATCAGGAGAATCTTCAATCGACTACCTACTTCAGAAATGTCAAAGACTTTCGAATATACGTGACACTCTCAATGTTTTATGAATGTTACAAGAAAATACATACTAAGATTATAGAAATATTCTAAATAATTTGAATAAAAAAGATCTCTCCAATTTATATAAACACTTCATCAAGGTGACAGAAATGTTAAAAAGTTAAATCAGCAGGGTTAACTTATGAAACTGATGCAACACTTAACTATTGTTGTTTGGATATAATGTTATGATTATCAAATTATTGTTATTAATTATTAATTATATTAATAATGAACTAATATGAAATCTATAAATATTATATATAAAACTTCTGAATGTTACATTATTATTTAATGTTATTATCAAGGAATTTTTATAAATTAAATTTGTACAACTCCCGCAACAGTTATAATCCCTTTTTGTTAATAAATATTACAATAATAATATAATAATCATTTAATTTTTAAAGTTTTGAATCTCAAATACTTTTAAACTTTTCTAGTTTAAAATAATGTTAAATAACTCTCTGACATTTTCTTTTTCATATTTTGCATTACAATTGAAATGTATAAAGTGAACATATCACTAAACTTATGACAATATTGTTGATCGTTTCTTTTTATATCTAACGTTCAATGAAATTATATGCATTTCTTGCGTTTTCGCCGCAACTAAAATATAATTCACGTACTTGGACTGTATTTACATATGTCATAATTTATAGATTTTAATTTTAAAAAAATTACAAAAAGTAATCGAACTATGGACGAACTATGAAGACACAACAGGTCTTCATAGTTCGTCCATGTCACAGCTAAGAAATAAAATAGTCTTTCGGCAGAGTCGACCATAAAAGGTCAATTCCGCTGCAGGTTCTTATTCGTCTCAATTTGTAAAACACGTAAAATGAATTTCCTTTAGCGAAGACACAATCATTTAAAATAAAATTATAGAATTTATTCTAAATAATTAAAACATTTGCTGATATTCTTTCTAATTTATATATTTTTTAAATATCTGCTACCTATTGTATATTAATAATATAATAATGGATTTTTCAATATACAATTTTAAATCACAATATTGAATTAATTTTTTAATAATCTAATATTCATTTAAATTAATATTTTAAACAGATTAGTTTTTACTTACATTATTAAACATCGTATTTAAAAATTCTGCATCAAGAGAAGCATTTTTGTATCCTATATGCTCTCTGAGTTTCTTCAACTACATTAAAATAAAAATTATATAAAAGTTTTTAATACAGTAATTATACCTAAATTGTTTTAAACCTAAATAAATATCATATTTTAATTCGACTTGAAATACGTTAGAAATTTTAGATTAAATTAAATATTATTTAAATACTCCTACATTTATAATTGCATGAATTCTACAATACACTGACAAAGTTTTAATTAGGCTATATATTGAGTGATCATTATGATTATTTTTTGCATTTATTTTAGCAATATTTTGCTTTTTAGATGAGCTTACCCCTTCTAATACAGTGTTTAATATAAATTAATGCTAACAATAATGTTATATAAATTTTCAGTTAAAAAAATATTATATTGGAACGTAGGGTTTTAACGGATATGAAAAAAAAACATACTCAATTATAATAATCATTTTAATTATACGTTGTTAGAACAATATGATGCATGTATTAAAAAAAATATGTTCTTAATATCAGTTAAAATAATCGGCATTTCACTTCAGATCTGTTTAAATCTCTTGTATTTGAATATCCAATGTGTTTGTGATATATGTTCATATTTTATAATTTTGAATTATCAAGAATGTGTTTTAATTTGTATAACTTTCAGATTCTTATTATGTGGAGAAATATACTTAAAAATAAAAAGAAAATGCAGAAAAATTTACTAAGAAAAGTAAAGAATAATATACAGGAAAATCTATTACTTTTAGCACCTAAGCAGACCTGTCAGTAATCTCAAGAATTATCAGAAAAGAAAAAAGTGTATTTAAGAATGTTATTATAAGTCAAATTACTGTATTATATTCTAAATCATTTATAGGTGTATAAGTAAATAAAATAGGAAATCAAATTTACATTTTTTTAAAAAATTTTAATCACTAAAAAAAATAAATAAATTGTAATTTTAAGTATGATTATAATTATAGATCAAAATTAAATTGAGAATCGCTGTTATAAACTATTTTACGATAGAAACAACTTGGTTGGCATGGCGTATGATACCAAATAAGAAATTTGATACTGACTTATAGCTGAAATAAACTAAAACAAAGTGTGCAAGAAGGAAGTAACTTGGCAATATTTTAGCAAAATAGATGAATTGTTAAGAGCAAATCTTTAGTATATCCTCCCTCTAAAAATGTATTCTTCATCAAAATTGAATAATTCAAATGCCACGGAACAAGAAACATCCACAGTTCATCTGTAGATGTTTTTCCCATGCCTGATGGGCACATCTTACAAGTTCAAAATAAAATAAAAAATTAAAACAGAAAATCAAGTAATAAGAACATGTCTGGTTTTCGGAATATTTAAAATATATAATACAAGAATTGGGAGTAAGAGAGCTCGAAGTGAAAACTTCAAACTTCGAAACATTTATGTCATGCATCCAGCTTTTGTTTAGTTTTAACATCGAAGTTAACAAAAGGAGAAATGTGTTGTTTACTCCTTTAGCCATCTGAATTTGGCTGAAAAGCTGTAAATTATAGCTTTGGTATGTGCGGACATACATTTCTGTCGGTGCCACGATGTCGCAAAGGAATTATAGTCGTGCGCCAACCTTAAAGCAGATGCACTCGAGATATAAAATTGAGACTACAATGATAGTTCAGGACAGCGTATTATAGTCTATATTATATTAGTAGTAATGTAATTCTGATTAAAAACATGATAAATTACATGAAACAGTATTTCTCAGTTATTAAAAACATTAAATAAAAATTAAAATTTTACTTTAATTCTGGTGAGATTTTTGCTGTAGCTATCGAACCAGTCTTCTTCGGAAAAAATTTCATCCAGTGTTTCACGTATTTGTTTGACATAACTTTTCACCTAAAAATATGTAATACTTATTATAATTTAGTAAAATACATGATTAGTGTAACACTGTAAGAATGGAAATACTGTAATGACATACCTCATTAATGTTGTCTTTTCGATTCATGGATTTTAACATTATGTAGTCTAATCCTAATTCAGTATATATTTCCATATCTTGAATGCAAGTTTTCCACTTCAGTTTATTTATATCCGAAAATGATTCATAAATTTTGTCGTAGAAATTTAATGATTCTTCCGTATCGACCGCAAGTTGTCTAAAACCGTTGTGGATGCGAGGTAAATAACGAACAATAATATCCCATACATGGTAGTTATAAATTATTCTGTTTAAAAAAATTAATATCAATAAATGTTTGAATAATTTACTTGAACATAAAATGAATATTATTGGAGATAATTGAATTTTCTACAAGATTTTAAGATTAAAAATAATAAATTGATTTTTGATTCAAAACCAAATAATTTAACAGTGACGAGTTCTCATATTGATATAAGTGATCAACTTGCAAATAGTTGTAATTTGTAAACGCTTTCTTTAACCTGCTTTGCGCGGTTTTTAAATCTTGCATCTAAACTTTAATCTTCATCTGTTAATTAGAAGTGGATAAAAATTTGGGATGCAAGATCTTTCAAGATCTTTACATTATTTAGATCTTAAGAAGTCTAAAACTTTGAGAACATACCTAAGTGTGATGAAAATGCATTTTAATGCGCGAGCAGCAAATAACAAAAGACAACGGTTGTGCACTAAGTGTTTTGTCGGAAGAAGAAAGGGAAAAGAGAAGGAGAAGAGGAGATAAAAAAAAAGGAAATGGAAAAGTCCCACTGAACAGCGAACGTTAGGTTACTATGCCCTCTACGTTTAATGTTGGCGTGCAATTTTCAGGCTACAAGGCCGTAGATCTAAAAGAAAACCCAAGTTGTAGCTTATGCCAATAAGTAGTGCGGCTACATATAAACAAGACAGAGTAAAGATTCAGGCTTAAAATTAGAATGAAGGCTTAATCTAATACTAAAATTAATACAGAACGTAGGCTAACAAGCCTATAGGAAGCAGAATAACATAAGGACAACCATAACAAACAGCTAAAATCCTGATAACTTATATCTAAGATAACTTAAAATTACCTTATAGCTACCTTAAATTTACTTTTAGATATGTATCATTTTATTTTTATTCAGGATCGTGTGACCAATAGATGATCCTTACATCTTGGCAGCCAGTCTTAAAATTTGAAGTCCGCGAGAATGCTCTAGTAATGAAGAAAGCCGATCATTAGGCTACGCATTTCAGTGAATAGATGACTGAGGGCACCAGCACACTACTTAGATCCAAAATAAACGAGCAATCATTTATTGTGACATCGTCACAATGCCGGGATGCAATTTCTATTCATATTTTTATAACTAATTTAATTCAAATTATATGTTCTCGATTTTAATACCTTTTGCCTCTGTGCATCATACTTTTCTTGTTAACAATAGAGTCATACCGGTTATGTATCTAATTCCAATGGGAGAAAATTTTCGAATTGAAATAACGAGACTTTCGGTTCAAATCAGAAGCTCGTATATAGTTAATCGGGTTTACGGCTCCAAAGCTTTCCATCTCTGGTTTCGACTTTCAACTATTCTTCCTTAATCTCGAAGTCAGAGCTAAAACAGACAGAACAAATGGATGCTAGTGAAAATTTATAAGTCTGTAATATGAAAATTTAAAGTATATATGTTCTCGTCTTGAAAATATAAAGTATATGTCAGTCTGTTTTTTTTTATTTATTTATTTAGTAATCGACGTTTTTTACAGATCTGGCTAATACGCTGATGCCAAAATTAATCAGGACTGAGGAAGAATCTGGGTCGGAATTTTGTACCCGGTCAGTCCTTGACAAATCGAGCCTGACTCCTAGCATGCCACTTTCCAATTGTGGGCCTGATTGAACCATTTACGGGTGTGAAAAAAGGCCATTTAAAGTCAATAGAGAGGTAAAAGATCTAAACTAAAAAAAATCCATAATTGACGTGGTAAAAATTACATTAGGGCCTGTAGGGCAAAAATAATTTAAGTATAGGCCTACATTATTTAATGATGACGCCTATATAAAGAAAAGTTTTAATATTAGTGTAAATTACTATATTTTATATTTTTCAAACTACAAATATCAATTTTTAATTTTCATATTGCTTACTAAACTAAAACAAAAAATATAATATATAATCTTCAATATACACGATGAACCAAAAATTCGGACTCATCGGAATCTTCACGTAATTCTTACATTCGTTTTGATACTTTTTCAGCACTAACCCAGCGAACTTTAAAGTACGTTTTCACATTACATTACATTACATTGAAAGAGTACAGAGGTTGTCTGTATGCGCACAGACTTTATCTCAAAGAAATTAGAAGAGGAAGTGATAGTAAGTAGTGAGGGAAAGAAAATAGAAAAAGATTGAAGGAAAGTGTCGGATCATTGAGCGTCTGCATCATAATTGTTGAACAAGTAAAAATAGTAACAAGACAAAATATGTTCAGTAAACAATATAAAAACAAACATGACAAGTTTGCGCGTGTGGGTGAATGTGTACAGCAAAGGGGGTACAGACACAATGTTTTAACAATTACAAAGTACGCGATTTGTGACCGCTCTATGTATATACTTTATACAAATACCGACACTCGATAAAGGAGTGGAGTATTATTATATAAAGTTAGATATAGAACAAAACATGAATATTAGTTATTGATATGGCTAAGTCTCATATTTACATGGGTAGTGCTGTAAATTGGTTGACAAAGAGATAATACATTATAAAATTTAGCAATAAAAACATTGAAGAATCTAGTAGATATAAACCCAGTGGGTCTAAATTGCATATACATAGTATAGTCAAATCGCGGGTTGAACAAATTGGCCGAGTAGCCTGCCTACCTTAAATGATATCAGCCAGTCCATCATTGGTCCAAAATGTGGCCGTGTCACTCATCTCGGAATACTTGAAGATCCTTGGATTCAGAGGTCTCGATGCTGACTGGCTACGATTACGACCTCTGGGCAGAATAAAATTTACTATTTTGATTACTGTTTTTATCACATTCTTAATAAATCGGTGTCTCTATTTACTTTTGCGAAAAAATTTTGCTAGCTTATCACTTTGCGTTATAATTCTTGATTTTATTCCATCTAATCAGTCCATTCCAATCGCTGTATTTATGAACATGTTTGGTTTCGCAATGTCTCTTCACACACTTTCATTACACCAGTAGTTACTTTGCAAAATTATTCTTAATGCTTTGCCGTTATACTGTATGAAAAGTAAGCTTCACTCTATTTTTCCCGAAATATGCGACATTCGTCACTGACTTTACATTTTTGGAAGATATAACGGTAAAAGTTTTCAAATAAACTATTCAGGAATGTCTAACGATAATCAAATAGTAAACAAACGATTTTTTTCGGCTTCTCCTATGGCAACCATGTTGCTCATGGTTTCCAGACGAGAAGCCGAAAAAGCTCCACATATTCCAATAAAAATCGCGAAATTTACCAATAAGATTCTGAACTTGCGCCATTTTGTAGATTCAAATTTTTACGTCTTTGTCGAAAAACCTAAATAAAATAATATCGCGAGATTTGTGGTCTTTCGTGAGATCCACGAAAGTAGCCCTGCGCTGTTCGTGGAATACTTGATATTGTATAGTTTTTTTTTTATCCTTTCCGCCCTGTGGGCACTAAGAGGGCCTCTTATAGTAGGCGCATTATGGGTTCGGCCAAGACCACAATGGGGCGACCGGTGATGAGGTACAGGGCTTGACATATCTAAACGGACCACTCCCCGAAAAATTTCCCGAGGATTTTTATATCATAGATTGTTGATTAATGACAAATTTTATTTTTTTAATATTACCTTTTTATTCTGCCAGGTCGCAAATAATGACATCAACGGCTGCATATTGTGCACAACATAAAGTCTAAAGTAGGCTCATTATTTTTTTAATCGATGATAAACGTAAATTGCACTATTATATTTCTATGAAGTTGATAAATATATTTATAACGATATAATCGAAATTATAAGATATATTACGTTAAACGATAAATATTTTGAATGTGGCATTTCAATAAAATAGCTATTTAAATGTATACATTTACATTACATCACATTTACGTATACATTTACATTACATCACATTTACGTATACATTTCTAGTATTACGATTTCTTAATTCAAAATAAATTTTATTTTATTCTTACTATGATATATTTTAAATGAATTCGATAATCATTGACTATAGAATACATTACTTAAAGCTGCTATGATTCTTCATATTATGAATTGATTTAAATAAAATACAGTAGACCCACCTATAACGCTTAGATACGTTCCACGCTAATCGAATTTTACGTTGTAGGAATGATTAAATACATGAGCCAATCGCAGCCCGATAGGTGTGAACTTTACGGACTAAGGCTGTTTGAAAAATTTTCTTCTATAAAATTAACCGATTCTAGACTAATTCCACTCAACATTTCCAAAACACGTATAATTTTTTGGGAATAATCTGTATAAACTATGCTATAAACAAAAAATTATAGGATTACTTACCGAGTGTGCACCATTCGACTACGCCCGTTGTTCAAAGCTTGTCATCGTCGCGGAACAGCACACGAAACGGCGGCCGCGATTTCTGATAAATAATTTTTCGCAGAAAAATAACTTGACCTTTGGAGACATCATTAATATAAATAATTTTTATGGCCGTTGAATAAGAAGTGTTTCTTTCACAAGAAATGTATAAAATTAGTGCTGTATTAGACTTACGGTACCTAATTTACATACTGTACAGACGATAATAAACTCAACTTACTAGCCTAAAATCTCCGTAGCGTGTTGCCAGGCGGCAGAAAGCATATATATAATTATAATAAAGTTACAATAAATTAAGTTAATATATAATTATATATACAGTACCTAATTTATATATAATTAATATATAATTATATGTACAGTACCTAATTTATATATAATTTATATATAATACTAAACAGACGATAGCAAACTCAATTTAGCCGCTCCGTAGCGTGGCGCAGGGTCGGAGGAAAGTAGTTCGGCTGCTCATCCACTATTGGTCCAGATTCTATCAATCTTGTCGCGAAACGACGTTATAGGAGGTACTTTATACGAATGTTGCTACAATTTTTTCGCTACGTTATAGGAATTGTCGTTATAGGAACGCACGTTATAGGGGGGTCGACTGTACGAAATTTCTTAACTTTACTCTTTTCTATAGCTGTTCTTCTTCCTTGATTTACCACCACTCAACAAGTGTTAAATTGGCAAGGAATAACACTTTGAACTTTTTTATTAGCCGTAGCTAACAGACGTACCTATGGAAGATACTTGATTTCTATACTTTTGATAATGAAAGCAAATTTCTTTATCGTAAGCAGTGACACTATACGACGGCGTTCCTCGTGAATTCCAGCTAAGACAAATTGTAAAATTGTCCACTTACAATGACAAATATGATTAGTCTCAGCATTACATAATATAATGAATTGGTGGCTATAGTATTGGTCACGCTGGATAGGGGATGAGAAATAAATTCTAATTCGAATTACTTACAAAATTCAAAATTTTCGTATCGAATTCGAAACCAGACACTCTGAGAATTAAAATAAGGATTTATTTGCACACAACAATGTTTGTGTCGATTGGTTTGAAGTGATTGCGTAATAATTTTAACAATGTCTTCATAATAATAAATGTTCTTACCTTTTATTTTTAGTGTTTCCAACAAGTTCACATAGATCAGTCAGAAAGTCCATGCTGTTTACTTCTAAAGGAAATTCATCCTTATATTTCTCAGAATGTTGAAGATATTCAAAAAAAACTATAAACAGATTTTTCCAATCAATCTGAAATTAAAGTATATAATATATAACTATGGTTAATAAGCATAAAGCTATCCCTATTTATGTTATGTTGTTGTACTGTACCTGTGAGCAGTTCGAATGTAATTCTGATATAGTTGTATTTGTCGAATTATCATTATAATCTTTATCTAGAATCTACACAGAATTTAAAATTATTTTTAAGTATGGATTCTATTTTTAAGTTAATTAACAAATATCAATATTTCTATTTACTTTTGCTAAAGATGTTTGAAAGTCGATTATTTCATCAATATGCTTGTTCTTATTTTCTGTTGACAAATCTAATTCAGAAAGTACGTAGTCTATCAAATTTACATATTTCTTTTTTAACTTAATCCACTTTTCTTCAGTCGTATTCAATAACACAGATGACTTAACAAAATCAGATCCACGACTTATCTACAAATGAATGAAATGTTTACAATATTATATAAATTACATTGCATAAATTAGTAGAGGAGAAGGTGGTATTATGCAACCCCAATTACATTATAGTGAATTGTAAATAAGGAATCATAACTACACTCACATTTGTGCGAAAAGTACTGGTAACTATTAAACTAAATGTTCCTAATTGGAATTTTCGCTAGTGTAACTATAGTATGGTTTTTAAAGGCTTCTGTACAAAAAGTCAGAAAATAGGCTTAGGGAAAACCGGGTGGTAATATGGAACTTTACTGTATGTTTTCAAAAAATGCTTTAATGTATCCAAAAACAAATAGGAAATACAAAGAATGTTAAATAATTACAAAATTATTTACTCCAATGTATTTTATCGAAAAAAATGCTTTTATAATAGAACAATATGACCTCCATCAAAGATATATATTCCAGCAGCTCTTTTTCGATATTTTCGGAAAGAATTGTCATTCTACCTAGTGTCTTTTTCACAAATTGCTCCGGACGAATCTCTGCTTGCGAATAGAGAGTTTGAAGGAGTTGAGTTTCCAGAGGAGTTGGGTTCCATATTAAAAGCATCAATGGAATTGCCATCTTGAATTAACTTATATCTGTCAAGATCAAATTTTAAAAAACGCCAACATCACACAGATTAATATGTACCCCTAAGTCTCTGGAACAGAATACATGCACCAGTGAACCTACAACTACACGATTTATATTTTAGAAATAATCAAATTCACTTACAATTCAAAACTTTCGAATTTCGAAAAACACAAATATGCTGATTCACTACGGACAACTGTTTAACTGAAGTGAAACAAGTTTTCCCTTCGCTATGGATGTCTGCTTAGTGCTGTTCAGCCACAATCCGCTACAGTTCGTCTTTATTATCAGTTTGAAATGGAGGAGTTTCAAAATATCTGCAGGGTTGCAATAATACCACCTTTTCCTCTATAGTGCCAATTACTTATAAATATGAAATTTTATATTAATTTTTATTTATTAACTTAGTTAATCTTTCATCTTGGGAAAAAAACAAGACAGCGTATCAGAAACATAATTTTATGATAGCGGCAAACAGGAAAGTTTATAAAAGTGTAGCTGTTTTCCTTACTCTCGTTTCAATTCTGTGAATCATTAACTCATTAATGGAAATTAATTGGTAATTTGGTAAAATGTTTCGTTATAACCTTATGAACAGTTATAACGTTATAAAAAGTATAAGCGAAGTCTCCCGTTATAATATTTCGTTATATAATAATGTAGTAACGGTAGTCAATCAGAGTAGTTATTTGCTAATAACGGGAGCAATACTATAAAACAAAAGATTGTTATATTTTTCTCAAACATGTCCATTGATATGAAGATGCAGTTTCGTTTTTCTGGCGGTAAAAACTGAAAGGAATATATGAATTATTGAATAACGTTTACAAAGGCTGAAAGTAAACAACGATAGAATATTTACTTTGTATTTTATTGAGATAAGAAATAAATAAGATAAGAAATTAACTCCAAGATAAGAAATAAACTATATAAAATATGGTATTTAATCAAATAGATAGAGGCTGTTATATATTGGTAAATTTAGATTCAAACTTTGCAGTCTGCTACTGCTAAAGTAGAATATGCTTGTACGGGGAGTACCCTTGTCATACATGCTAAATAGAGCACTCCGACAACTTTTTTGAGGCTTGCAATCCATGACTCATATTAAAAAATAAATATCCAACGTCCTCATATAATTTTTTTGCTTCAAATAGATTTTATCGTGTTATAAACTGTGTTTATACAGAATATTTACTCATAATACAACATAAAAACTTATAAAATTAATGTTCAATATTTATTTTAAAAATTTTCAATTGCTGTATTTATTATTTTTATTAAAACATAAATTACACGAACTTTTAGTGAACAATTTATTATGCAATATAATACTGTATAATAAAATCGGAACTGAAATTTTGTTTTCATTGATATATCGACAGCATTTGTCTTTAAATATCATTGTTAAAAAAACAATAATGCTAAATAAGAGTTCATAATATCGATATATACGTAAACGTCAATTAATACAATATAAACACAAATAAAATTCAGTATTAAAATTTAAACTTATTTTATATCCGAAACACTGATAAAAGAATAGAAGATAGAGATTTAATAACCTGTATAATCTGCTTAGTAAAAAAGCAGTATTTTAAGTACCCGGTAATATCTCGCCGCCGGACGTATCGCGCTTTTTCTTTGACTCCCAACAAGAGCGATATAACGAGGAACCATTGTACTATAATAAATAATATTCAGTAACAAGTAAATTATATACATGTCTATAGGTAATTTTATCTTAATTATTACACTTATTATTATACGATATATGAAGTAAATTAGTTAAAATTCAGTAAAATTATACAAACTGTTCACTATTACACTTTTAATATTTGAAAAAGTTTTTTCATTATAAAAATACAATTTATTTTACGAAACGGAATTGGACCTCGAGGCGAACAAACGTCAAGACATACAAAACGTCAGCAAACATACAATACTTTTGAGAAAACATAGAAGTAAATAAATAAAACGAGTAGGACAGTATCTTCTAGAAAAAATTCGTTAAAGTGAAGTCCAATTACAAATGCATTAAGATAACATTGATTACGAGATTATTTTGCACATAAAATACCACTATAAGAAGATAGCATTACAGTCCATAAAATAACAATTGCACAACATTAACACATACATTTAAAAGTGCTTACGGAAAATATGAAAAATTTATTTCGTTCCTCCTTCTTAACTTCATTGCTTTAAGCAGAATTATTTGTATTACATTATATAATAATAATATTTCAATATTATATAAAGTTTTACTTTCTAACGAAGTGGAAATGATATTGTTTATAAGCAATAACGCAGCTAGTGTTTTTATTCTTATCAAACACTATGAATTAAACTTTTTTGGATATATTTTGATTGCTTTTTTAAAAAAATTATTAAATATTTCATAACATTTATCGTTTTGTAAGTTATAAGTATTAATTAATGTTTCTATCTGTTTCGATATTTATGTTATATCGTAAAACTTTTCGTTAAATTAATACGTCTGAATCATACCCATTAAAGCCAGACTTCATTGGAGTACAGAAATGATATAGGTTTACTTAAATGAAATGTTAAATTACTAGCTGTTATTTAATTAAAAAATAAGTTACCGGTAATTGTGATAATAGTTTATAAGTAAACAATTTATTTATGGGGTGACTGAAATTGTCACATTTGTCACAGAAAGCAACTGCATTAAATTTTTAGCAATTATTATTTTTTTATAAATTATTAAAAAATTACAGTTATATGAGAGCTGTTTTGATCCCTAAATAATGCAAACAGATATCCAGGACTATCGTAAGATTGTGCTAGTGCTATAGCTTCTTCCATTGTTAATTTTGAATTATCGTTTTCAGAAAGTGGCCAACCGTCCAAGTTAGCTGCACTTAAAATGCCATGAATAACCTGTTTCATGTCGCTAGCTGTAATTTAAGTAAAAGATTATAAATGTTTTGTATTTAATTACTTATTCAAAATCAATGTAATACATACGTTTATTTAAACACGATTGATAATATTTCTTTAGTTTTTTGACGAATTCTGGATCATTAAACTTTTCTGGTTTCTCCAGCTGTTCTGAATTTGCATTTGTTGTGTATGAAAATTATTATTATACTTATTAAAATTAATATGTAGGCTACATTAAAGTAACGCTTACCTTTTTGTAAATAAAGGATATAATTTTCTAAATTTGTAAAACTACGTATTTTTTCGTCGTAAATGTTTTCGTATTTCAGATAAGATCCGCATGAAAATTCATAAAAGTTGTCGCATGGATCGACGGTAAAGTCCATATTCTTTAGAATGGAACCAGCTAAAATAATTTAGAGTTGTGTAAACAAAATATATCGGATTTATTGAAATTAAATTACATTTAATTGTATTTCATTAACCAGCAAATTAATTTTATCAGTTAAATGTTTTTGGTTGTTTTTGTACTCATAACGGAATATTCGAATATTACATACATAAATCGAATTACGGCATCGGAATTTCGAATTAATTGTTAAAACATTTTACATCATGTCTCAAATTTGAAACATTAAATAGCTCTTATATTCATATTACAAACTACAATTTGTATAAAATGCACAATGAACGCAATCATAAAAATACTACCATTGAAAAATTTCTAAAATTTTTAAACACTGCCAACCAAATTAATTATATTTACCAACTATTCATATGTGATGACGTCTATTATCGTGATTTCTGCTAGGCAAAAGATAAACGTCATCTATATGTATAAAAATGAATGTATGTCTGTCTGTGTGTCTGTGTGTCTGTCTTATGTTCTTCATGCATTACCACACCGTTTATCTGATTGCCATGAAACTTTGGGAAGTTTTTTAATACACTCCCGCGAAGTTTTATGGCATTTACCCTACGATAGATGGCGCGCGTTTACACGAGCATTCGTACACAGTGTGTTCGATCGATTTCAAATTGTGAAGACCATTTCCCTCCTTCAAAACATATCTCTATATATGCATTTGTGAACTGTTATTTACAATATTTGTAATAATTTTAGTTTAATCACTTTATTTCAACTTTTTTTTGCTGAATATGTATTCGCTCGAACTTCGTTAAAACCTTAACTGTACCCCGAACAACAATCGAAGTTGTAGGAAGAAATTTGAGTATTTTACCGATCTAGATATCCCCCCTTTTCCAAATTTTAATATCGACTCAAAATAATTTAAAAGGACAAATTACAATAAAACGGTTTATTATCCAACTATCACAAATTTCACAACATGCCAAGGAAGAGAGGAAGGAGCAATTAAACAATTAAAATTATAAAGGATTAAAAAATATATATATAAAAATGAGGAATATCGCACTTCTGACAATCGCTGCAAGTGTACGGGCAAAATTTGGAGAATCCGTGCTTCTCGCATGGACAACGCGACGCGTGAGCCGGCACTGTATGTGGCCGGCTCACGCATCGGAAAACCTTCCGATTTATTCGTGTACGCACCAAACGAAAAACAAAAAATAGAATTGAAACGACACTTTGAAATGTTTTTCCGATGAAAATGAATAATAATAATAAGTTTCAATAAAAATGATAAAATGTAAATTTAATTTTATCATAACGAGTTTGCTTGAATTTCGTTTCTTCTGAGATCGCAGCAATGCGCGACGGATAAGCTAGTATTATATATTTCCACGCAAGAAGGATAATTCGTGTCCGCAATCCTGTGAGTTGCAATGAATTTTCTCCACAATACTCTGTTCCAATGTGTTTTATGATGTGGAAAAATTCTCGCATTTACAAGTATAGGATATTGTTTCGGACTGTAAAAAGAATGGCTAATGCGAATGTATATTTTTCTTTTTCCTTCATCTTACTCATGCTCTTTAATTCTAAGGGAAAGTTGCATAATGTATATACACCCTAGCTAACTGTTAATACAAGTTTCGTTGCGTAGTATGAATGGTATTTCATAAATCCCTGATGCAGTGGGTTTATTCGGTCTACGGCATTAAGTAGAACGTGGTATTCCTAACGATTGTGCCTGAAAATCAATTGTATGTTTTGTTTTAATAAAATGTGAGAATCTGCGGGTTCGAGTCCCTTGCAGCGTCGGACTCGTGAAGCCCGTTCACTTTGTCAGTAGATGGCTATAAAGTGTAAATTAATTTGTCTCGAAGAACGAGAGATCTTTTGGACGTCAGGTTCCTTACACCAGTTGGGATAGTTCGAAAGTCGCGTCTTAACGCGCGATTATAAATTTCTATTCTTAAAGATATGCTCGAATAGGAGGGTTTTGTGATTCGAGTCGGAAGAGTCAGTGAATTCGTCGGTAGGGTGACCGACATCAAGCTAATTTCCAATTAAAGCCAAGTTAACATATAACAAAAGTTTAATGAATACAATAAAGTAGTGATAAAATACAAAAGGGATAAAAATGTCTCTATATCGATACACTAGCTAAATACGCCTCTGATAGACCGAATGAGAGTTTACATTAAATTGTGCATAATACCTCTTGTTAAAATGATGATGTATTCGGCCGAAGGCTAATTTCTATCGTCAGGACGAAGAATGAGAAACTTCACTGATCGGTGGGTTCAGTGGAGAGAAATGAGAAACTGGAGACGAGGAGAGGGGGTGACATGGACTAGACGAGGGGAATTCGAGGAGAGAGCTAGGCGAGAGTGTCATCGAGAACGGGTTTTTTACTCTTTTTATCCCCAAATCGCCTTTAATCAGGTGTTAACTTGTTACCAATGTGACGGGATGTTAGAAATGACTAACTAGCAGATATTCATTAATACGGGCGATAAGATCTCTCCACGGGAAGTTGATAAACTGAAAAGAAATGTTATTTTCCCTTTTCCATTAAATTCTCACGAAAGAAAGTGTAAAATTGTACGTTTTCCATTTTAACTACATAATATTTTCATTTATTAAATAATTAAATCAGATTCTAAATAAATCTTCCCAATCTAAGAAAAGGCTCTTATTCTAGATCTCCAGTTTCTCACGAAAATATACAAGTTTTTTGCCTGTTCTATCTTGGCACGTTTCCTTGAAAATCAACTGTAACTATAGCCGCACCGCTGTTCCCGAGTATGTTAAACTTGCTGTTTCCTGTTCCGAAAAGCTTGTCTATAGTTGTGTAAGAGTATCCAAGCCCATTAACAATTTCCTTATTCCTCTTAATCCTAGGTATCTTTGATGTCAGTGCAAATCGCTCTAGCAATTAGAGCTTTGACAGCTAATAATTTGTAAAGGAATAAATTGGTCGTTGTAGCATTTCAGAATTTATAGAGGCTTGGACGACGTCACGATTTAATATGGATATTGGATATCATTCTCTTCCATAGAGTTACATCTACGTCTATAAAATTTTATTTAAACAGTATAATATGTAACATTATTGAATTCGTGGGACTACGACACACTTCGTATTACATATTAACCAGTATTTTGTATTAACCGAGCTCATTAACATTGAAATGACTATGTTAATTAATGCACGGGATCACAAATCTACTTCGCATTAACACGTACGGTACTTCGCATAAGTCGATAACATAATAGAGAGGTTGCGGCCGACGTTTTCAACGCGAAAACGAGTACGTCGGACGTTCAGCGCCGTCTTCCTGTAAGCCTAGAAGTTTGACAATGGCGTTTGATACGTCGAGCATGATTCCACTGACGTTCCAAACGCCATTGTCAAACTTCTAGGCTTACAGGAAGACGGCGCTGAACGTCCGACATACACGTTTTCGCGATGAAAACGTCGGCCGCAACCGCTCTATTATCTCTCAACAATATCCCCACGTATTGTTTGAAAAAAGTATTTTTTTGTTTATAAAAAGTATTTTTTATTGTTAGCAAGGAAAAGGACATTGCTAAAAATTACAGCTTGTAGATTTCTCTACAAGCTGTAATTTTTTATTTATTTATTCAGTATTTTTATTAATTTTTTATTGACAAGACTATGTTTTGTTTATAAAATCGTACTACCTGCTGTGTTAACAGCTTAGAGGTATGAAGGAGTACATGTCAGAAGTTGCAATTTGACACAAAGTATTAGGTGCCCAAATCATGCGCGCATAAAAAAAACAGACTTGTTGGTACTTGAGGGACTGAGAACCGAGTCAGAATGAAATACAAAATGGCGACACTCTCTACAAACAGGCAGTGCGAGAATTGCGCATGCGTTGCTCATTGGGAAGTTGGAAATGCCACGGGGGTGCGCTAATGAAGTAAGGTTAGGAACCGCTGGTCTAAATTATAACTTCTTAAATCCCTCAACAAAACTTCAATTGGACAAACTGTCCCAGTCTTTCAAATGATAAAATACTGGAACATGTTACAAAGAGATTTTCAAGAGATAACTAACAAAAATAAATGTAACTCAAACATAAGAAATAACCCTCTTAGTTAGATTTTCAAAGCGAGTACGTTCTAACCGAAAAAACTAACGATTCTGCAGATCAAAGACGTTTTCCCGCATACAGTAATACCCCGAACTTACGCGATAGGTGGGACCGAGCGATGACTGCGTAAGTCGAATTCGCGTAAGTCGGGGTATAATTTCGCAATTTGCGGAAATCCAAGTCGAGTGTATGTAAGCTAATAAATGTTCTCGTTAATCTTATCTCGTGTTTTGAATCAAAAGACGAACTAAGATTAACGAGTTCACGGTAAGGCCAGGAACACACATGCGTAAAATTGTGTGGCAGAAAACTGAATCAGAAATCAGCTTTCAGTTCAGTATCTGTTTTACGCTTTTATGCCAGAACACACATACGTAAAAATTCTGGCCGAATAGAAAACACCACTGCCACTAACAGTACTAATTTTATTAATTTTTTCCTCTCATATAGGCTATCTATTCCTTTGTACCTTCCATTTTTTCTCCACTTCCTCTGCTATAATAGAGAAAATTTAAATTAATAGACTTGTATTCCAAATTCAAATAAAGAACTTGTGATCTAAATACTAGGCCTATACTCGTATATCGATTCTACTAAACTTACCTGTTATTTGAAATTTAACACCTGTAGCCATCCATAAACGTTGTTTAAATACAGTGTCTTTATAGATGACACTGATTTGGTCGAACGGATTCAATAAACTCCTCTATTTCATTTTTTTTTTTCGTTTTTTCGAGACCATCACAATTGTAGGGTTAACCCTCATTGCCGCCATTGTTAGAATAAAAACCACGTGTCTACTTCGACGTCACAGGAAAGACTTCTCTTTATTGGAGGAATTTTGGCGTAAAAATTTTTCGGCGTAAAAAGTAGAGACACGCTCTACTCTATTTTCAGTTCTGTTTCAGCCAAAATTTCAGAAAAATTTTTACGTTTTCTGTTTTATGCTAGATTTTACGCCGAATTTTACGCATGTGTGTTCCTGGCCTAACAAGAAATCACAACATATAGTCTCAAAAGTCTCAGTAGATATAACAAACACAGAAATAAATAACACAAAATAAATTGTATCTATGTGTCGATTCCGCGCGACACGTCCGAACATGTAAGCTGAACAATAGTGTGGTGGGAGTGAGTAATCAAGAGTTGCGTGGCGTGCTCAAACAAAAGACGAATCAACGAGATTTGAAAATCGCATAACTCTGTGTTCGCGTAAGTCGGGGTAGCATAAGTCGAGGTATTACTGTACTTATATCTAAAAATGATAATTGATATACACCAAAAAGAAAGGAAGAGAAGGGAAGTAAATTTTCCCAGGGTCCTTGGTTGCAACAGATAACATGTCTTTTCTGTTTTAATGAAAGAAATTTTTTCTTCACTATTTTTCTTTCTTTTTTTTTTTTTTAATTTTTCTGGTGATGTTTGTGTGTGGGTTCCCAGACAAGGTTCGAACTCGAGTAAACCGTGAAATTCTTGCGCGACACAAGATGTAAACAACGAGACTCGGGACGATTCGAGTATGTGTCAACTATCTGTTAACGTCTTAGCGGAAGACAAACTCTAACACGAGCGCTCATAAACAGGTGGATCTTTGACTCGCGTGTCTATAAAATGTTGGTCGAGATAAACCTTTTCGAACAAAAAAAAAGGGAATTTTTGATAGATAAAAGATGAAAAATGATCGTTAAATTCTTAGACGTCAAAAAATGGTAAATAACGGCCTGAGTTATGAGTGCAGGTGTTATTATTTTATAAACAGTCACCGAGCAGAGTCGATAAAGAGGTATCGGATGGACACCTCGAATCGGACCTTTCCCGCGACCCGATAAAGTTTCGTCTTGCACCTGGAGACAAAGGAGAGACCAATCGGGAAGCGAGGAATGAGACGAGGGACCAATCCGAAATGCGAATAGTGGGGGAAAAACTATAAAAATCGGAACTTCAAGGTCGAAGAAGATTCTCCTCCGGATTAAGCCTACAGTGGTGATTTAGATTGTGTTGTGCATCCGCCGATCACCGAGGACGCCGCAACAAAACACCGAACTTCTGCTACGTCCAGATATCCTTCTCGTCCGCCCGAACTGCGACCGATCAGACGAACTTTCGCCGTTCACAGGAGCACCGATATTTTGAATTGTCCAATATCGATGTAAGCATGAATTCGACCAAATAAACAGGTTTACTTTTGTAAAACACTTGTTCTTCATTTGCCTCCTTCGCCACCACCCACATACGCGGTTGCCCTTTGGCTCATTCTGACGCGAAATAGACTTTATTCCCCCTTAACGTCGGCAAACTTACATGTGTTTCTGTCGTTTGTTTATTTTGTATTTTTGTGGCACTTGCAAAAGACAAAATGACCACAGTGTCTACATCGTGTACATATTATTATCATCACATTAAAACAGAGGCATTACTTCGGAACAGAGATTAACTATAAATCTATCAACAATTTCTAAAATGAAACTACGAAAAATTAGATGCGGGAATTTTCGAATCCACACAAAATAACAATAATACTTCTAGCTTATTATTAGAAGAATCTTATCATTTTGTCTGGTGCAATATGTTATGAAACTTTTTTCCTTAAAAAAATTATATAATATTAATTTAGTAATTAAATCAAAATATACGTTCAAAGTTCGCAATAGTAGCAAAAAAGATCACGAAATAATAGTCTATAAAGAAAAATAAGTCTCACCTGAAAATTTGCATATGTTATTTAAGCAAACTTCTTTCTTTGGTTTTTGAGATTTATCTATAAGTTATAAATAGTTTTAATAAATTTATATGTAAAGAAAATATTGTAAATTGAAAATAATATTAAAACGTATTTGAATTGCAATTATTTGATTTTCGTCCTATTTTTAAATTAATGCTTTTAATAGCTATTTTTGAATTCAAAAATAGCTTTTAAGAATATTAATGAATTTGAAATTTAATACAAATGCAAAATACAAACTTTTTAACTCGGATACAATTGAATTATACATAAAACATATTTAGTGACGACTTGTTTAACTTTTCCGGTAACATTTAAAAATTGCATTATGGTATTGGCCTAATATTATTTAATTAAATTTTCATTGAAATCAAACTTTTTTAAATGCGTTTTTTTACAATGATTGATTTCTTTCTGAGAAGTAACGATTTTGAATTCGGGGATGAACGGAATCACTGCAAAAGTGGTTGTTCTATTCATCACATGCAACTTTTTCATTATTAGTGGTTTAAAATTTGAAAATAGGTAAAATAGATTTATTTGCATGCTTTTATATTTGTTATGATTTATTTTAGTGAGATCACTTTACTTAAACTTGATGACTTCTTCGTAGTCAATGGATACACGACACTCAATTTAACAATGCGTATTAATATAAAACCCAAAGTTTATTATTTGCTAAAGTTTACGTTCTAAAATAACGTAACGGAAGCTGCTGTGTTACTATCGTGTGTACTAGAGCTAATAATCTATAACAAAAATTTATTGTAAAATATTTTTCTCTTTGACAATTGTTTAGTTACTTTTTCTAATCTTAGTTCGAATACGCAAAAATACATCTTTCTTTGTATTTTCAACAGCAGGGATATAAAATAAATTATCTAAAATACATACATGTACACAAACATGTTGAACATAATAGAATAAATGAAAATCTTTGGGACTAAAACAAGCTAACTCAGTCTATTGTTGATTTTCTATACATATAAGACTGACATGATTTCCAAACTCATGACATATAATTTCCCATAAATTAATCTATCAGCTTCTTATATAATTAATCATATATAAACAGATCTGAATATAGGAAAATTCAAAACTTCAGGGTAGTTTATCCCGAACTCTTCAAATAGTGAGTTAATATATTCTTTCACGAAGGTCTTCGAATAAATCAGTTGACGTCGAGCATCTCATCTAAATAATTGCAAATAATGATCTTGAAATTTAAATATTTATATAAATATAAATATATAGGCCTATATATATATAAACTATATTAAGGTAAGGTTTTCTGATATATTTACACTAGCAGACCCCGCTACACGTTGTTGTGGCTCAAAATGTATCTATTATAAATGTATAACACTTCCCCCGTGTAGGGAGGAATTTTTCGAAAAATCTCTTCTTAGTGTACATTCTCTTGGCGTACCCTATTAAAACGCAATCAAAAACGCAAAAACCCGCATCTAAAATAGTATAATAGAAGCCAAGTTTTTCAAGATAAGCCTTAATCCTGTCCCTCTTTCCCACGGGGGAATATTGAAAAATCCTTTTTTAGTGTATATTCTGTTGACATACTCTATTAAAACTCAATAAAAAACGCAAAAAACCGCATCTAAAATAGTAGAAATAGAAGCAGAGTTCTCTACGGTAAGCCTTAATCTTGTTCATCTCCCCCCAGTGGGGGGAATTTAGACATGTATATTATATAAAAACACGTGCGTATTCGAATGCAGCGTTGTGTGAAAATTTCAAAGGAATTGGTAGGAACAAACGAACGTTACATTTTTATTTATATAGATAGATAGAAGATGATCTGCATTAGTTCATACTGACAGAAAAGCAAACTTAGGGCGTCATACTCGTAGCGCCATCTGTTGGACATAAAAGCCTTAACCCTAGATGAAAAATCTATTGTAGTTTTATTTCGTTAATAAAAAATCTGCAGGTTTGATTAGTGGTAAACATTCCGGGGATCATAAAAATGCTACAGTTAAAATTTGGTAACGATTGGTTCAGCAGTTTTCACGGTTAGTGGTCACAAACGAAAAATACGTTGTCTCTTTATATAGTAGTATAGATATAGATATATAAAAGCCTTAACCCTAGATGAAAAATCTATTGTAGTTTTATTTCGTTAACAAAAAATCTGCAGGTTTGATTAGTGGTAAACATTCCGGGGATCATAAAAATGCTACAGTTAAAATTTGGTAATGATTGGTTCAGTAGTTTTCACGGTTAGTGGTCACAAACGAAAAATACGTTGTCTCTTTATATAGTAGTATAGATGCCAGGCCCACAATAGAAAGTGAGGTACAAGGCCAACCACCTCTCGAAAAATTCATAGGGTTTTTCGACCATTCAGATTTGTTCATGTCTCCAAAACAGCTGGCCGACACCTAAACACTTCGGCCATCTGGTCATCAGAGTTTGGTAAAATTTTTATGATGGAAAATATAAAATATTATAACAAATTTTTTATACATTTATANACCAACCATGACAAGAAAAGAAATAAAAATGACAAGAGATACCAAAATAAGGTAACGTTCTAACAATGTCCTGTTGTTCCAAATGATGCATTTTCTGCAAAACAATGAATTATTTTAACATTTAACACCAAATATAGACTATATGTCGTAAATGTATTTCAAAAAATTATGAAATATTTGTATTATTAAAAATAAACTGGTGTTATAAAAAGTGGTTGTATATGTGAAACATCAAACTGAAGCCTTGCATAAACAACAGTGCAACCACAATATTTTCTAGTTTCGATTTCTTAAATCAATAGTTTTTAAAATAACATAATTATATAGTTTGTTTTGAAGAATGTAAAGAAGACTTTTATATAAAACAAAAATTTAGAATTGTTACTTATATGTAAAAGAATGTCTAAATACTTTAATATTAGAAAACTAGAAATTCTCTCCTCAACGTGACGGAATACTTTCTATGAGAAAGTAGAGATTGAAGAATTGAGACGAATACAGATTTCAAGAAATTCCAGAAGAGTTACTGATATTTCTATAAATTAAGGTCTTTGGCAAATTATTCTTACTCAATGCTGCTGAAGTCTAACTTCGAGTCTCTAGAATTTGCCTGATCGATTTTATTTTTCGCCTTCCTTTAAGCATGTATTTTTACACATAATAGTGAGTTTTTTAATTCCACATTTACGAAACAAAGATTAATTGTATTTGCGTTAGTTAGATGATCGATAACACTAAGTAACAGGCTCGTTACATTGTTACTTTCGATTGAATAATAGAATGTCACGTGGTCACTATGAAAATAATTTTTAAAAAGTTTGGTATAAAAGTGACACAATACTGCTATCTATTTTTAAAGTTTAAACTTAATGAAGTAAGTTTAAAATACGCCATTTGCCAAAATATTTTTAAATGCAACTTAATGGAAATTCCGTCCTCAAGCACGAACTAAATGAGGTCACTGACAACGTAAGTGCGATCACCGATCTAAAACTGATAAAAAGTTTATTCTGTAGCTAATATTTCGGCAAAATAAGTAGCATATACTTTCCGTCAGAACATAAAAACAAATATAGCCAACATTTCATGTGGATTGGACAAAAATTGTAGCAGTTATAAGGAATTCATACACACAGACAGTGGCTTTTATATTATTAAATAAGAAGTGTAATAAAATTGAGATATGTTAACGAAGGGCAGAAAAAGAATAAAATTGTTGATAAACAATTTTTCAAGCTTCTTTTTTCTTGTATAGAGTCTGAAGAGTAAAACATCTATCTTAAGTCGCAAATAATTTATTATTATTTCCGCTGTGTTTTTCTGTTATTCTGAGAAATTTTTACGCCTCTTTTTGTATTTTCTGCTATTATTTGTTATGCGTGTGGATATTTTTGGGGGTTGTCCTTCCGGATATGTTGGCCCTGTCCCTTACCAACCGGCCATCTTGTTGCGGACTTGGCCTGGCCGAACCCATAATAGGCTTGCTAAAAAGAGGCACTCAGCGCTCACAGGGAGGAAAGAGTTTAAAAAAACGCGTGTATAAACAATGACGTTTCATTATTAATTTAGCGCTCACATACAATGTGAGAGTTACGTTATACAAATTAATAATGAAGATGAGATTAAGAACAATAGTATCTTCCGTTTCATTTCTTTCTGTTGGATGTCATCACATATTTATATTTTAGGATTTACTTATAAATGTACAGTACCGATTGAAGAATACCTTGCTCCAAACGTGTTTTGGCAAATACGACTTGTTTGTTATTTTCTATTCTCTGTATTCAATATTTCATGTGTTTTTCAGATAATGCATCCAGTTTCGTGTTTTAAAATGAAGTCGAATCTTATTTATTCGAACTGTTGGATAATTCGAGCCCATTATTAAGTTGTTTTCCTATGAAATTAACGTTTAAATTAGCGTTTAATAAAGAACAGTTAATTTGATTTTTAGCATAAACTCAGATAAAACTCAAAGCTAGTTTGATTGCTTAATTTTACAGCAACCCAATGGACGATCTGCCTAGGGGAAATGCCTTCCGAAAGGTCTTTTTAAGGGTAACTGCCCCTATTCAGGAGTTACAGACGTGGAGGAAATCCGGAAAACTCCACGTGGTCAGCCCATCTTGGCAAGGTGCAGTGGCGTACCGTGGGTGTCAGCCGCCCGGGGCGGAGGAAAATTTCGCCCCCCTTATTTAGGTATTTCAATTTAAAAGACCAAAATTCAGTTTTGTCACAGAACAAGCAATGAAAAATTCGGTGGTAGTGCAGCGACCTGTTTAAAATAGTTCTATTGGATATTAGTGGTGTATATGAACGCGAATGAATCGTACAAGCAATAAAAAAAGGTCAACAGGTTACGCAGGAATTCCTCGGATGAAAAAGTTACTAGTTCACCCGGCGAGCCGATTCCAGGACTGTCCGGTGGATAGCACTATCGTAGGCGCGATGCAAGTATAGATTAGGATGTTTCAAATTTTTACAAGATATTATTATTATTTATTGTGAAATTTTTCCGCCCCCGAAAAGGTAATTTTG